ACCTTCGACTATCAACGGATCTCTCACGGGACTACGCCTTGGTTTGGTCATGCTCACTTCACCTAAACTCTAAACATTTTCTCTAGTTTTGATGTGACAGTTCAATTTGAAAATATATTCTTTCTGCGTCTTATTTTGGATATGCAGGAGGCTTCTAGATGCTTGGCATCGGATTGTGAGTAAGCATTGCTTTTTAATCTAGAGATATATTTTGAAAAATTGTTGGTTAGCCAGATTCGAGTAAGAATGTGAATTTAAATCAGATAATGGAAGTGAAAAAGTGCAGTACAAACTTGTACGCGGAGGCCAAACTAATGGAACTGGAGTACTTCTCAATGATGATAAAGCATCAGAGGTAATAAAATTCTAATACCTTAATGACACGCTTGTAGGGAAGATTTGATTGCACTTGGAAGAATATTAAAAAAAGAAGCTAAAATCTTGTTGGTTATACCATTGAGTCTTGTTCTCTACTGCGTACCAAACATACACAAACAGTTACAAATTCACGAATTAGTTTCCAGGCCAAAGCTGATTTCCACAAGTCTTGCAGGTTTGGTTATTGACAATGCCTACTGGAAGGAACTCAGTATACTCGTTGCTGTCTGGGCCATAATCCTTTACTTCATATGAACAAGGTGTTCATTTATTATATTCAATAAAATCCTCTCTTACGGCATTTTTTTTTCCATGATTTTACTCTTTTTTATAATTGAGAAGACTTGCACATTTTTAATATAGGATTATACAACAACTCGTTCAGTGGCATATTGGATGCTGACCTTGATGCAGGTACTACTTTTTTCCGAACTAAGAAAGTATCTAAGCCCTAGATCACCACTCCTCAATTTTGAGTATTAGTAGTCTTAAGAGTAAGAGAAGGATGCACTACAATTCTCGTCCTAAAATTTGTAATCAATCTGTGCTGCCCTGTAAAATAGTTTCCAATAATTAGTTTAAAGACTTCTGATGCAAGTCTCAAGTGCCACGTGCATTATTCAGAATGACCCAGTTGACTATCCTTTTTGTAAAATTGGTTAAAATGTCTATATTACCCTTAATGATATGGGTTTTCATTTATTGCAGGATGTATTCTTTTCTTATGTATTTTTTGAAGATTAACACCTTATATTTAAACATATTCATTTTTAGATAAAAATATTAGTATTATAACAATTAATTCCAGTATTATTCATG